ATTAAATTTAATTAATTAATTTATTTTGGAAATTGAGTCTTATGAGTGCAGTGGCATGATCTTGGCTCACTGCAACCTCTGCCTCCCAGGTTCAAGGGATTCTTATGCCTCAGCCTCCCAAGTAGTTGGGATTACAGGCGCGTGCCACCACACCCAGCTAATTTTTGTATTTCTAGTAGAGACAGGATTTCATCATATTGGCCAGGCTGGTCTTGAACTTCTGACCTCAAGTGATCTGCCCACCTCGGCCTCCCAAAGTGCTGGGATTACAGGTATGAGCCACCACACCCAGCTTCATTTGTTGAAAAGACTTTTATTTCTCCACATTAAATGATGTTTCTTTTAAAAGAATGAATATGGTTCAAGAACCGAAACATCTTTTGACATAAAGGGAGAAAATTGACATAAAAGGAGAAAATTCTCTAGACCTTTGGATTCTGAATGGGCTAAAGAGCCCCCCTTTCCCAGGAGAACACCCGCAATGTTTGTTTTACTAGAAGTGTCATAAAACTAAACATATTTTATACTCAATTTCTGGGATTTCTAGACTGATTTTCTTTGCCTAGCTTTTAGAAGAAGTTTTAACCACTCCTTGGGATCAAGGGTCAACAAATGATTATTCTTTTTGACAAACTGAACATAAAACAAAACTTTAGAATGAGAATGAAACTTACAACTCATTTAATGTAACTTTCCTTTTAAAAAAATTTTTAAAAAGATACACACCTGTGCAAAATGTGAACAATGCAGAAGTATCATCTAGATTTGGGGATGCCGAGGGACATGGGTTTCCTACTGCTTCTCTGTCCCCTCCTCAGTGTCTTTGGCCGGCTCTTCTTCCTCTCTATAACCTCAGATGCTGACGTGCCCCAGAGTTCAGCCCTTGTATTTCTTCATTTTTTAATTCTACTCACTCCCTTGGTGATCTCGTGCAATTCCATGGCCCAAAATGCCACATAGACTCCCAGGAGCTGTGTCTCTAACCCAGCCTGTATCTGACTGACTCCTCAACACATGCAAGATGTCTAATAGCAACTTGTCTAACACAGAAATCATGGTTTTCTCATTCAGTCCTGCTCTTTGCCCAGTCTTTCCCATCTTGGTAAAGGGCACCATCCTTCCTCCAGTTGCTAAGACCAAAACATCAGGCCTCTCCTGGCGTCTGTCTCTCTCATACCTGACATTCAGTCCTTCAACAAGTCCTCTCAACATTAACTGTAAAATACACCTCCTCTCACTGCTGTAGCTGCTGCCTCTGGTTTAGAGGAACACAGCCTGGTCTCCTCACTGGTTTCTCTGCTCCCACCCTGGCCCCTGCAGTCCAACCTCCTTAGGGATCATTAAAGACATCACTCAGATCCTCCTCCCTCAGCTCACATCTTGCCAATGGCTTTTTTAAAAATCACATTTTGAATAAAATCCAAGTGATTTGCCCTGACCTACAAGGCCCTGCGTAATCTGGCTCCGACAGATCTCTTCCCATTTTTCTCTCCTGTGACTTCTGCCCTTGCTTGCTCTGCCTTTCTGCTGTTCTTTCAACCCATGCTCATTCTGCCTTTAGGGCTTTGTCTTTGCTGGTTCTGGGGCTGGGGTGCTTGTCCCATGCCTTCTCCAGGCTGTCCTCTGCGTGGGGGCACTCACCTGCAGAAGGGTCATCTTCCCGCCATGGCCTTCCCTGACTCCTCATCCCCAATACCTGCCCTCTGCCCCACCTGCCCCATCTTCATACTTTGCTGTATTTTTCATTATAGTTTATCACTACCTGGCATTATTTACATATTGACTTGTTGATTTGTTTGCTGTCTGCCTCCCCAAATGAATGTAAGCTCCATGAAGGTGGGACTTTATAGTATTCATTGCTATCTCCTCAGCTTCCAGAGCAGAGTGTTCCCCATAGCAGATGCTCAGCAAATATTCATGGCTGGATTGAATGCAGGATTAGATGCAGATGTGTAGATTCCTTTTCACCCTGTTTTATTCCAAGCCTTTCCTCAGAGGTTATCACTGTCATTAGTTTGATAAGTAGCTTTCTAGACTTTTAAAAATGCATTTATAAATGCAGACAAAAAAAATCATAGTTTTAAAGAATAATACAATTTTTTTTTTTTTTTTTTTTTGAGATGGAGACTTGCTCTGTTGCCCAGGCTGGAGTGCAGTGGCGCAATCTCGGCTCACTGCAAGCTCTGCCTCCTGGGTTCATGCCATTTTCCTCCCGGGTTCTCCGCCTCCTGAGTAGCTGGGACTACAGGTGCCCGCCACCACGCCCAGCCAATTTTTTGTATTTTTAGTAGAGACGGGGTTTCACCATGTTAGCCAGGATGGTCTCGATCTCCTGACCTCGTGATCCGTCTGCTTCAGCCTCCCAAAGTGCTGGGATTACATCCAAATGATTTTACATCGTGTTTTTCTCAATAATACATTAGGTATTTTCTCGTATTAGTTTATATAGAGAGTATCCATCTATTCATCTCTCTTTCTCATCAGTTTGTATCTTGTTTTTTTCTTTTTAAGAGACAGAATCTCTGGCTTGGCATGGTGACTCACACCTACAATCCCAATATTTTGGGAGGCTGAAATGGGAGGATTGCTTGAGGCCAAGAGTTCAGAACCAGCCTGGGCAACAGAGACCCTGTCTCTACTTTAAAAAAAAAAAAGAAAAAAAGTAAGGAAAAAAAAAAAAGAAAATAGAGACAGGGTCTTACTCTGTTGCCCAGGCTGATCTTGAAGTGCTGGCTTCAAGCAGTTCTCCAGCCTCAGCCTGCCAAAGTGCTGGGATTATAGGCATGAGCCACCACACCTGACCTAGATAGTCCTTTTTAATGGTTACATTGTAGTTCATACTATGGATGCACCACAATTTATTTAATTATTTTTCTGTTGAGAGATACTAATATATAGGTTATTTCCCCCATTCATGATTATAAGCAAGACTGCAGTGAATATGCTTGTACATAAATCGTTGTACACGTAGACCTCAAATTGCAAAATTCCTGTCAGTGACTTGGTAGATACTGCTTTATTTTTCCTCAAAGATTATAGTATTTTACACTCCCACCAACAATATATGAATGCCTGTTTCCCCATATGGTTGCCAATGCTAGATATTACCACACTTTCAAAATATTATTCCGTGTTGGGCAAAAAAATGTTTAACTCTTACAAAAGAGGAAGGTGATACAAAGCCTTACTTACAGGTGGATTGTTAGTCATATCCTATAATGATAAGCTTCTTAGTTTCTAGATTACACATTAGCCTGCTAAAGAAAGATAGTCTCTTTTGAAAGAAGTGACAGACTTAAAGGAGTAAGGTGATTTGAGATGAGAAACATCTTATGCCTTTTTAAGAAGCTTCCAACTTCTTTTTCAAGAAGTATCATTTCAGGATGTGTGCTGTGAGATCCAAACCACAAGCCCACATATCCTCATTTTCTTGCTATAAAATATCATTCCCAAGTGATTTTTTTTTTTTTTCTTAAAAAGAATCCACAGCACAAAACGTCAAGTGTTGGAGTTGGCTGGAGAGTTAATGGAAGTTGTAGCAAGTGGTGATTTATTGTTATTTAACCACTTTGTGGTTTCTGTTGGGCCTTGCTAGAAGTGTACTCAAAGAACAAGAGAGGTTGTTTTAATAACTGTGACTGGGGTCCAAACAAAGGCATGGGAAGGAATAAGAAGAGAAATGCCAACCCAGAGAAAAGAGCTGGAACACAGGTAGTACCTGGGTGCTTCTGTGATGTTAGTCGGTTTCAACTCAGAGCTAGTGTGAATGTTGGTTGGCTCAGATGCTGGCTGTGGCCTTGAAGTCACTTTTCAGGGCTGGACTGAGTCGCAAAGGGCAGCCCCTGGGTCTTCTCCATTTTCATCAGATATCAGATGGGAAGGATGAGAGGTCCTTTTGTAGCATCAGTATATTAGAGTTTGAAGGATTCTTTGGAATCAGCTACTTTTCTTACTCACCTTATAGATGATGAAACCGAGAGATAAAATGATTTACACAGGTAATGATCCAGACATTTTAAGCTCTATGTTGAATAATCAAAGGAAAAAGTTGTTCACTTGAACTTTACAGATTTAACAGATTGTTGGACAGAAAAGGACTTTTGCCTTGAAATTCCTAATGCAGGAGTGGCATGTAACTGCTATGTATGCCACCATACCCTGTCCCGGCCACATGCCCATAGCAGACATTGTTAATCGACCCCAGCATCTTTTCCTCAGCCGAGCTCTGGCCAGCCTGAGAATCCTCCTTAACATAGTGCTGGAGGCGCCAGTCATACCGATCTGACCTTTCATGTTATTTAAAATCTGTTTGTCTCCCTCTTCTAAATGATGTAGCCACGTGATTCATGATGTGCTGATAGCATGGGACTTCAAGCCAGAAGAACTTGGTTTGACTCCTCCATCTGCTGCTTCCTCGTTACATTATCTTAGGCAACTCACTTAACCTTTCTGGGGCAATTCACTCCCTCTGAGATGAGAAAGTTGAATTAAATAATCCTAAAGCATCCTGTCAAGCTCTGAAAAATGCTATGATTCAAGGTACACAGACTTCTCAGGAGGAATTCATAGCTACAAGCATGTCTTTTTATAAAGACCACAGGTGGTTCTCAGGAAGTTTGCATATTACAAATCTATTTCGGGTTTCTGAAATATGTGTTTCTAGCTTTTCCTGACTACTTCTTTTCATTTGCCTGGTCCCGTGGACCAAGAATTTAGGGATTCCGAAGGGAGAGAGAGGGGAAGGATCCGCTTAAAATCAGAGGACTTGCAGGAACCTCTTCTTGGCGGTGGGCTTCATCCTCCCCCACCAAGCTGAGCAGATCTCTGTGCCTGCCCTGCAGCTGTAGGTCTTGAGTTACTTCTCCTTCCCCTTCCTCCATCTGTGCCTCCTTAGGAACAGGGTCCTCCCTGTCAGACCTCAGCCAGTGGCCCTCCACAGGTCCTGGCCTGCTTCCCCACACCGTTCCCTGTGGTGACCTGCCTCCCTGCTTGTTTTCCAGGCTCCCCTTCTCTGCGGGCATATCCGCTCCTCTCGGTGATCACCCGCCAGCCCACCGTCATCTCCCAGCTGGTCCCCGCCACCCCGGGAATCGCCCAGGCACTGTCCTGCCACCCAGTCACCGAGGCGGTCTCTGCTGAGGCCCCAGGGGGCGAGGCCCTAGCCAGCAGCGAGTCAGAGACGGAACAGCCCACGCCCCGACAGAAGAAGCCCCGCCGGAGTCGCACCATCTTCACCGAGCTGCAGCTCATGGGCCTGGAGAAGAAATTCCAGAAGCAGAAGTACTTGTCTACCCCGGACAGGTGAGGACGCAGGGAAGGGACTCTCCGCAGCTCTCCGCAGTGAAGGCCCTTGAGGATGGGAGACTTGCTCCCGTTGTGGGCCATGGAGCCAGAGCACTGTTGCAGTGAGGCAGGACACTGTGGCAGGAATCCACTCCTTGGCTCAAGGCATCTTAACCTTGGTTGACAGAACCCAGCCTATGTGAATCCACCACACAGTCCCTGGAGCCTGCCTGTGGCTGAACTTAAACTCGTCACTCTATCTCCATATTTGAACTTAACTATTTCAGTATCATAAACAAGGTCAAGTTTAGCAAATTGTTGCTCAGGTGGTCAGCTGGGAAACAGGCTTGGTTTTTAAGCCACTCACTCTTAGGATTGGAGGCAGCAGGACTAGATCTGGAATTAGGATTAATGATCCTCTCAATCTTCTCCACAGCCTCCAGCTGATTCCCCACTGACTCAGCTTGCTGGCCTGGCTATTGCTTGGGAAGGGCTGGAGTGATCCAGTTGAGGAGGTCAGACATGTTGGTGAATTTGATGGATGTCAAGTCAGAACCATTTGACTGAGACCCAGGAGGACCTGGATGAGAGCCCCTTCTTTGAACTCCTCTGAGATCCATGTTGGGGAGGCTGTGACCCTTGCTTTCTTGGAGGCCTCAATGCCTCACCTCCTTTTCTTTAATTTACTATTTTAACTGGAACATATGCCAGAGTGTGTGTCTGGGCCGGGTATTGTGGCCCACACCTGTAATCTCAGCAGTTTGGGAGGCTGAGGCAATAGGATTGTTTGAGGCTAGGAGTTTGAGACCAGCCTGGGCAACGTTGTGAGACCCCGTCTCTACAAAAATTAAAATATGAGCCAGGTGTGATGGCATGCACCTGTAGTCCCAGCCACTCAAGAGGCTAAGATGGGAGGATCACTTGAACCCAGGAGTTTGAGACTGCAGTGAGATATGATTGCATCAGATTACATCACTGCACTCTAGGTGAGACCCTGTCTCCAAAAAACAGAAACAAAAACAAAAAAAAACAAACAATAGCCGGGTGTGGTGGCTCATGCCTGTAATCCCAGCACTTTGGGAGGCTGAGGCAGGTGGATCATGAGGTCAGGAGTTCAGGACGAGCCTGGCCAAGATGGTGAAACCCCATCTCTGCTAAAAATACAAAAATTAGCCGGGCATGATGGCAGGCACCTGTAATCCCAGCTAGTTGGGAGGCTGAGACAGAGAATTGCTTGAACCAGGAGGCGGAGGTTGCAGTGAGCCAAAATCATGCCACTGCACTCCAGCCTGGGCAACAGAGCGAGACTCGGTCTCAAAAAACAAATTGTGTATCTCAGTGTCTCATCTTGTTCTTTCAAACTGACTCTGGAGATAGCCGAGCTAATAATGTGTGATCCTATTTATTGGGGAGATTTTTCAGGTCCTTTTTCCTCTTCTTTTGCCTACTGCCTTGGCCATATCAGGTTGGACACTAGTCCTATCAAAAAGTAAAGGAAGGAACCTCAAATGAATCTCTTAGGCTATGTAGTAGCTCTTTGATACAAATTTAAGTGACAGAAGAGTCTGCATATCACCGACTAAAAGGGGATTTAGCTTCTGATTCCGTTAACGAGGCACCATCAGCTGTTTGGTACGGGTCTTCTGGGTGCCACTGGGGCACTGTGGCAGGGATTATGGGTCCAGAAACAGTCGAGAGAGTCCTGTTGTGACAGAAAGGGATCATGGGGAAGGAACGACTACAGGAACAAAGACGCAGCAAGCCAGGCGCTGGTACCTGTGAGGTGCTGAGTGCAGTAGGAACACAGGGTATTGCTGAGCATGGGAGACGGGGTTAGGGAGGCTTCTCAGAGGAGGTAACATTTAAGAAGACCTTTGATTCCAGGCGGGACAGGGCGTCCTGCACTAAGGGGTTGGCACACACAAGGCAAAGAAGCGTGTCTCGTCGGGTATGTGGAGGAAACTGCAAGTAGCCAGGACATCTCCAGCTTAAGGTGTGAACAGGGAAATGGTAGAGGTGAATGAAGGGTGGGAAGGACCTCGTATGCCTGGCTGAAATGTGAACTTGGTTGTTTAAGCAGTTGGCACTGCCTTTATGAGCTGGAAGTGCATGACCTGACTTCTGTTTCGGAACTGTCTCTGTGGTGGCACCATAAATGATGGATGAGAGAGGCCAGAGGTGGAGCAGGGACCAGTTAGGAGAGAATCCAGTGATCATCACTGAAGACTTGAATTAAAGGGTGGCAGTGGGAATGCAGAGGCAAGAATAGAGAGGAGGACAATTTTTTACTATTATTATACTTCAAGTTCTGGGATACATGTGCAGAACGTGCAGGTTTGTTACATAGGTATACACGTGCCATGGTGGTTTGCTGCACCCATCAGCCCATCACCTACAGTAGGTATTTCTCCTAATGCTATCCCTCCCCTATCCCCCCACCCCCCCGACAGGCCCTGTGTGTGAGGTTCCCCTCCCTCTGTCCATGTGTGAGAGGAGGACAATTTTGAAGAGAGAATTGGCAGAATCAACATTGTGGGAAGAAGCGAGAAGGGAGTTGAGAATTCTGTGGTTTCTGGACTGGGCTAGCAGGGGGATAGGGACACCATGACCTGAAGTTGGAAGACAGAGGACAGAGTAGACTTAGGTGGCGAAAGGTTGGGTTCTGTTCTAGACCTGTGCATTTGGGGTGTCTTTGGCAGATGATGGAGACGGGTCTGTGAACCAGAGGTTAACAGATGGCATCTCCAGGTATGACATGGCTGTTTTCACTTCCCTAGCATATCCCCTGGGTGCATGAACGTGTGCACCCAGGGGAGTGGGCACCACTGTCTATGGTAGCATGGTGGCGTGTCAAATCGGCTTCAGCACGCATGGCTAACATTTTGGGCTGATTTTTCAGAAGTCAGATAATTTTTTTTTTTCACAGAAATATTAGTTCTTCATAAATCTCCTGGGGCTCCCTGGTACTTGCCCAGGCATCTCAGGTCACCTACACAGGCTTGATTCACTTGTCTGGGAGGACACCATCGGCTGGCATGGAAGCTGCCATCTTCACCCGCCCTCTCAGATGTTCCTCGCCTCCCTACGTGACCAGGGCCATGAGCACTCCCTCCTCCCGCAGCTCTCGCCCTCCTCCTCTGTGTTTGTTTCTCCAGTTTCCTAGGTGACCCCATTTAAGCAAATATGCAGGGAAGTGAGAATTTGTAACGGTGGCAGGTAATGAGAGAAAGCTGATGACAGTGAAGCATGTTTCTGTAGCCAGAGTGAGTCAGGGCTGCATTTTTCCCAAGTGAGCTAACACTGTTTGCTAATGCAGTGGCAGAGCTGTGAACTGAGCCTTCCATTGACTAATGCACCTGATGGCCTCAGGTGAACTGGGCTCGGGAAGGCGCCGCCAGAACCGTGGAGGACCCTTCTCCAGGGAGGCCTGGGAGACCAGAAGTCTGTGGGGTGGCCCCCTGGGTTCTTGGTTCTCAATGAGTGGCTGCTTGGGCAGCAGTGCTGCGTTTGTGGGGACAGCCAAGTGCTGTTGGCACTGGGAATTTATTGGCTTTAGCTTGTTAATCACTTTCGATAAAACTGCCAGCTTCTAGCAGTCCTTCTACAGGGATAACCAGATGGATGTGAGTGCTGATTTAAGACCAGTTCCAGGGTGCCCTGAAGGAAGACTCTGTATTATTGGGGCTTTAAATTATGCAGCCTGGTCAGAGCAGGGCGACCGGGCAGCTGCACCTGAGACTGTCAGGGCCGGTCCCTGCGGGCCTCCCTGATGGTTAGAGCGCGCCAGGTGGAGAGCTGCAGCTGAGAACCCATACCTGAGGCTCCCCATGAAGCAGGCAAATGAGACTGCCTGTGGGCCCGAGATTCGCAGACGGTAACCTCAGAAACCCAGGGCCTTTCAAAAAGGGGGGGGTCGCTGCCCAAGCCCTGTCAAGGGCAGTTGTCCCAAGTTGCTGCATTCGAAGTCCACGCTGCTTTGCTGAGCAGGGCTGGCGTGGCAGTGAGGCAGCTTATGTTGGCTTAAGGAGGCGGCTGTCCAGTTGGTGCTGAGGTAGACCTGGGGTTCTTATCCTGTCAGGTCAATGGTGGTTGTCTCAAGGACTGACGTTGGAAGCCTGGCTACAGACTTCCCTTTCTCATTCCACTTGTCCCACCTGGTTGTTTGTTCGCTGCTTCTTGGGATGAAGCATCCCTGTGATTCCCTTTGACAGGCTCAACTTGTGCAGATACAGTGTGGGTGGGGGTGAGCCCCAGCGCAGGAGCTGGTGTACAGGTCAGACATGATGGGTTTGAATCCTGCCCCACTTCCTAACTCTGTGATCATCTGCCAGAGGTTGGTAAAGGTTTTCTGGGCAGAGCCAGACAGTAAATACTTTACACTTTGTGTGCCATATGGCCTATGACCACCACCCAATTCTGATATTGTAGCACAGAAGTAGTTTATTTTTTATTTATTAATTTTTTACAGAGTCTCACTCCATTGCCTAGGTTGCAGTGCAGTGGCACGCAATCTCGGCTCACTGCAACCTCCGCCTCCCAGGTTCAAGCATTTCTCCTGCCTCAGCCTCCTGAGTAGCTAGGATTACAGGTGCCTGCCACCACACCCAGCTAATTTTTGTATTTTTACTAGAGATGGGGTCTCACCATGTTGGCCAGGCTGGTCTCCAACTCCTGAACTCGGGTGATCCGCCCGCCTCGGCCTCCCAAAGTGCTGGGATTACAGGCATGAGCCACTGTGCCTGGTCTGTTACAATAAAACTTTATTTACACAACCAGGTAGCAGACAGGGTTTGGCCACAGTTGCTGAGAGAGTCTAATCTCTCCAGGCCTCAAATCTCTTATCTGTAAAATGGGAATAATTATACCTACTTCATTGTGTTGTGAATGGGATAGATAAGACAGCAAGTCAGGGGCTTAGCATGCAGCCTGGGATGCCGTGGTGCTCAGGAAATGGTGGCTGTGTTGTTAGATTTAGCCCCAGAAATGGATTTGGCTTTTAGGACTTTACAGAAGACTACAGAGAAGTACACAGTCACGATTAGCAGTAGAATGGAAAGCAGGAAGGGCTGTGGACTTAATGTTTGTTTTGGAATCTTTATAATATTTATACCATTTTAATTGTTATAACAATTTAGGGCAGCTACAGCGATTGAATCAATCCATCAGGAAGTATTTTTTGAGCACCGGTTCTGGATTTAGCAGTGTGATGGGCACTTTCATGGGTAGAAAAGAAGTGGAAGACATAAGCTGCTCTGACTGCTGAGTTAGGGAGGCAGAAATAACACGGTGGGAGTGATTAGAGAACAGTGGGAAACGTGGCACCATCTGGGTGACTGCTGGCCTGTGGGAGGGTGCAGAGGAGATGAGCTGTGGGAGCCAGGAGACTCACCTGCTGGAGCTGGGACCACAGCTGGGTCTGGAGTGATGAGTGGATTCCCATCAGCAACATCGGCTTTGCCTTTTGTTTCCAGTTTGGATGTCGGGCCAGAGGGTCAGAATAAATCATCTTGTCAAGCCAGGAAAAGGACTGTGTGATGAAGGCCCAGGCATCCTTCTCAGGTCCCTTGCAGACCATGAATGTTTCAGAATGGGGACTGGCCCAGGTATCCTCAGCCATGGTCATCTATTTCTTAGTTTCTCAGCTTCCCAGTGTCCTCTGTTGGATTCTTGGAAGGAAAGAAAAGCGCTTTGGGGAAGACCTCGTTTAATGAGGGAGGTCAGAGCCTTGATAGCCAGTGCTGGGGCCTGTCTGGGGCCTGTCAGCAGGATCCCATCTCTCCCGCTCCTCCCCAGCCTGCTCACCCTTCCTTTGTATCTTGTGCCTTCTAGGTTGGACTTGGCCCAGTCTCTGGGACTCACTCAGCTGCAGGTGAAGACCTGGTATCAGAATCGCAGGATGAAATGGAAGAAAATGGTAAGAAAGGAGTGACTAACCATGATCCCATCCTGATGGAAGAGGACTTTTCCTCCAGGGCTGTGGGGAGGGAGGCCGGACCATGTGGCAGTTTGGGCTGTGGAGATTGGAAGGCCTTCTGTGCTGCTGGCTTGTGGGGAAGCTGTTGGATCTGTAGGTCGAGCTATTCCTCTTGACCTGGATTTCCTAAACAGAGGGATATTCTTTTTCTGTTTCGTTAAAAATCAAAGGAAAAAAAAGCTTACAGGCTTTTAACTTGCTAGTTTTTGTTTTTTGTTTTTTGTTTATTGTACTTTAAGTTCTAGGGTACATATGCAGAACGTGCAGTTTTGTTACATAGGTATACATATGCCATGGTGGTTTGCTGCACCCATCAACCCATCATCTACGTTAGGTATTTCTCCTAACTTGCTAGTTTTAACCCTACCTGCTAGCCTTTTCAAACAACTTCCTTCTTCCTCCCACCAAGAGCTAAAAATAGAAGTCAGTATTCTTTGTTTATACTGACCTAGAGGATGCATCTGTTCTTTTGGCTGTGCATCCTCTAACGCAGTGATCCTCAAACTTTGGTGGGCATCAGAGTCCCCTGGGTAGCAAGTTAAATGCAGAACTCTAGGCCCCCTCCCAGGATTCTGGCCCCAGAGGTCTGGGCCAGGGCTGGGAATGTGCATGTTAACAAGCCCCCTCGTTATTCTGAAGTGCCTGGTATGATGACCACAGTTTCCATCATCCTGCTCTAGTGCCTAGCTAATGAATATTTCCATCTTTGATTTTTAAGTTAGAATATATACATCCCTACATTTTCAGGAACTCAATTTCATTATCATTTATTCTTTTCATTTAAGAAAAGCACTATTAAATCAAAATTTTCCAAAGTAGTCAAGTGTTGCCTTTCTCAGCTTTGTAAACCATTGAGACAAGGTCAAAGCCCAGAGCAAAAGAAAAAGAGGAGGGGTGGCGATAAGGGAAGAAGCGCTGCTCTTCTCTGGAGCCCAGGTGCTACCATGTCACCTGCCGTGGGCTTCTTACCCCCTCACCAAATCTTAGTGGCTCTTTCTCCTCTCGTCCATTCCATGCCTTCATGATGACATTTGCTAACCCATCTGGTCACAAGCCCTACTTCTTGGTGTTTCAGGGCTGAAATATGATGTTTTCACAACAATCAAATAACTAAGGTGTTCTCCCGACCCCAGTTTTTGGGGGGGGGGGGGGAAAGGTCAGCGGACAGATGTTTTCTCAGTGCTGTGGTTTTGTCCCATATTGTTCTTTCTTAAACTTTTAGTTCTTGCTATTCCTTGCTATTTTCTGCTAACAATGAGGGGAAAAAAACCCCAAAACAAGTAAATTGCAAATGAATATCAATGGGAAAAATTAGGAAAAAAGTCAACAAGCAGCAATTATTATATTCCCAAAAAAGAATTTCCTGGGCAAATCTTGTAATTTCCTCTGGGGGACCTGACCCTGAAATGAAAGAGTTTTCCAATGGAGGCAACTTGGCTCATGAAGTGCTCACGAATTAAGGCAGAGATGCCAGTTATGTGTTCAAACACACGGATATTGCATGAGTCAGCACATGTATTTTGTGTCTCTTGTGAGCCATTCCTTGTCCTAGGCACTATAAGAAATAATAAAATATCACCCTTGCCTTCATGGAATTTATGATCTAGTCAGAGAAACAAGGCCCAGGAGGTAGCTGCTGAGCATGTTATAATTAAGTGCTGGTTGTTGCGGATTTATAAACCTGTCGGAGTTCAGAAGAGAGGTAGTGGAGAAGGTTGCCGGGAGAAGTTGAAATTGAAGGAAGCGGCCGGGCACGGTGGCTCACGCCTGTAATCCCATCACTTTGAGAGGCTGAGGTGGGTGGATCACATGAGGACAGGAGTTTGAAACCAGCCTGGCAAACATGGTGAAATCCTGCCTCTACTAAAAATACAAAATTAGCTGGGCGTGGTGGCGGACGCCTGTAATCCCAGCTACTCGGAAGGCTGAGGCCAGAGAATCACTTGAATCCAGGAGGTAGAGGTTGCAGTGAGTCGAGATCACACCATTGCACTCCAGTCTGGGTGACCGAGCAAGACTCCATCTCAAAAATAAATAAATAAATAAATAAATAAATAAATAAGTCATAAAAATAAAATAAAAACAAGAAATTGAAGGAAGAATGGATTTGGTTAAATAGATAGTCTTGCAAACACTCTACAGTGCTAAGTACACATGGACACCTTTTAGGGGACTGGTTTCTAAAGAACTAGACTTGGGAGTGAGAAGCACCAGGCCGTGTTCCCATGCTTGCCCTTCCCTGGTTGATTTTGGGCAAGTCCCTTCACTGCTTTCTGTGCAAGATCCACCACCCACCTTCTTCCTCGTCAATCATCAGCCTTGAAATCAATGTCTCCTGAGTAGCAGAGGCATTGTTTAAATTGGTTATCAGCAATCTTTTCATGAGTCAGATGATTAAGGAATTGACAGGCAGCCTCCTCTGCCAGCACCGCCCAGTGCCCGTGGGACAATGTGTGTGCCTTCGCCTGTGACGTCACTTGTTTTTCACCAGCAACAGTGTTGCTGGCATGATTTTAGGCCAGTTATTGATGGGTATCAATGTCATGTAAACCAAAATGGAAGTAACTTAGCAGATTTAACCTCAGAGAACATTCTGCAAGCCAGTCACCTTCAGGTCCCTTTAGGAGCCAAGAGGCCCAAACTGTCAGTTCACTTTTGAGTTAATTCATTGAGCATTTAACATTTATCAGGCCCTGGAGATGCAAAGGTAAGACATGAGCCTGTCCACTAGAAAATAAAATTGTCAAAAGGTACTCGGTCAAGTGCGGGAGACAGACCTGCAAACTGGCATTATTATTACACGGAGCGGTCAGTGCAGCGGCAGGGAGATGTACAGGATCAGCGCAGAGAGTGGAATAGCAAGGCTGTGGTGTGATCCTGATTACTTCACCTAGTTTCCCAGTAAAACTCTTTCAAGGCTATCTCTTTAGGTACTGGGGAGGAAAAGAAAAAGATAATTGGGTAATAAAGATGTCTCAAGGCTAGTAACCTAATTGGAACTGGAAAAAGATTAGCAGTTGATTGTCAGACTTATTCACATGGCTGCCAAGGGTAACCTTGCCAGAACCAAGATAGCATCTCTGACGAGTTCTGACCAGTCAGCACTGGTAACCTGTAGCGGGCTGGGTCAATTTAATCTCGCACATTAAGATGGGATGTGCACCCTCTATTCCATGTCTGTTGGCTTTAGTTCCAGCAGGACCTACAGTGTTTTGCAATAGGCTGAAAGAGCCTCATTATTCGGTGGTCTCTTTGAGCTCTAAAATGCAATTCTGTTCCATGAGAGCACCCAAACAGATACCTCCTTTCTCTCCTAGTCACAGAATTGGGTGGGCCCCACACTATGCATGGTCACTATGTTTCTCGTGAATAGTCCCCAGGTAGTTAACAACTCCATGAATTGTTACCAGTCGCTCTCTGTGTAATCTTGGGCAGGTTACTTAACCTCTGTGTGCCTGTTTCCTCTGCCGTAAAAGGCCTAACACGTACCTCGTAGGGTTGTATTATTAATGAGCTAATCTCTGTGAAACACGTAAATAGGACCTGCCATATAGGACACAGCTAAGAGATGTTTTTGCCATTATTATTATCATTATTAGTATTTTTATTACCTCTTCACGAAATCCACGTCTTCAGAGAATCCAAATATTTGGAGGCCAGGAAACACAAGCCAAAAGTGAATTCTGTGAATCTCAGGGTCTCCACGCAGCCCTGAGTGTTTGTCCTTTCTCAGTCCCCACTTCCCAGTCATCTCCAAGTCAGCGCCTTGGCATTGGGGGCCCTGCTTGAGGTCCAGTGGAACATCACATCTTCAGGTTGAGAAAGTTAGCTAAGGTGAGCAGCAGTGTCTGGGAGGAGATTCATGCTGGGGAATCCAAACTTGTTTCTCAGCTTCATGGAAACAGTCATCAGTTATGTGGCCCTCGCTGCCCTATGAAGCTGCAGAGACAGACAGAGAATAAGGAGGAAAGTTCGCCCCCCACTAGTAAGTCTACTGCCTGGAGTCTGCTGGGAGGTTGGGTAATTGCAAATAAATACCAGACATAGAACAGTGGCCCATTTTACATATCCCTTGCACATTATGCTGAATGCAATACTGCTAAGGCTGTTAGATTCAAATGGTCAGGAGGTTTGTGTTCAAATCCCAGCTCTGCCCTTGGCTTGCTCTTTGATACTGACAAACTCTGTCAGCTCAGTTTCCTATCTGAAAAGTAGAGGGAAGGAGAGAGTTCCTTCCTGCACTGACATTCCCTGCCCCCTACTCAGGCTGCTTGGAGGGAAGCAAAAGGCCCGGTCTTAACACCCTCAGCAACAGAACATCTGAATACCTCGTTTCAGAGTTTGGAGGGCTGTCACCAGGCACGGCTAATAAAAGTGGATGGTGTGCTAGGTGTTCTTCTGAGAGGCAGAAGGAGGCCTGCGGCCTCTTGGACAAGGAACTCTCTGGCTTCTCTGGACCAATGGGACTAAACTGGCTCTAAGAATAAATGGGGAGAGGGCTCCTGGGAGGAGGGCCACAGGGTGCATGTGAACGGGTAGCTCCTGATGGAGGGTGGTTCTGAGATAATTGCATGTCTCAGGTGCGCTGGAAGGCAAGGGGCCAGAGGTTGAGTGCAGAGAGCAGCCAAGAGGGTAGTTATCTTCTAATTATTGCTTGTGCTGGAATGTTTTATTCCATTTAGAAAATGGTCTAATTGTTTTGGGGATTTTTTTTTTCCTGCAGTAGGAAAACAGCCAGGTGGGGTCCGTCCAAACCGTGTGGGTGGTGTTCTCTAATTGCTGGGCTGGACTTTCTTTTGCCAATTAGGTGGCTTCCATAGACCTGCCCTTTTCTAGTTTGATTACTACATGGGGCAACTTACTTTTGTATAACCTCTTTCATACTGAGTGGATCTGCTTTCAACATGTAAATTCCATCTTGGCACAATTGGGTGCTTTCAAAAGCCTACACTCAGACTGAAATCAAAATCAGATAATGAACTTACGTGAAAAGAAATACAAGGAACATCTTCTCCCCAGGGGTGGTTTCCGTCAGCATCTCTACCTTGTTAAAGATCCCCTTAATATCTGTGTGTTAGCTGTTCATGTGGAAAGGACAGTGGTTGAGCAGACTTTTAGCTAAAAGGAGGTGTTTACTGAGAACTTCTTGGTTTTCTCACTTTATACACAAAAATTAACGCAAAATGAATCATCATCTAAGTGGTAAGAGTGAAAACTATGAATATGAGTAAGTATTCATGACTTTGGATTAGACAAAGTGTTCTTCGTTATGACAGCAAAAGCACAAGCAACAGAAGCAAACATAAACTGGGCTTCATTGAAATTTAAAAATTTTGTGCTGTGAAGGACATCATTAGAAAAATGAGAAGACAGCCCACAGAATGGGAGAAGCTTACATCTGATAAGAGACATGTATCCAGAATATTTAAAGAACTCTTACAACTCAATAATAAAAAGACAACCAAATTTAGAAATGGGCAAAATATCTGAATAGACATTTCTTCAATGAAGATATACAGCTAGCCAATAAGAACTATGAAAGATGCTAAACTTCAGTAGTCATCAGGGAAATGCAAAGCAGAACCACAGTGAGATACCACTTCCCACCCTCTGGGACGACCGTGGTCAAACAGACATCAACAAGTGTTGGTGAGGATGTGGAGAACTGGAACCCTCATATGCAGCTGGCTGGAATGTAAAATAGTGCAACTGCTTTGGAAAACAGTCCTTAAAATGTGAAGCATAGAGTTGCCGAAAGATCCCACAATTCAATTTCACTTCTTTCCCATGTTCATAGCAGCTTCATTCACAGTAGCAAGCAACCCACATGTCCATCAATTGATGAGTGAATGAACAAAATATAGTATATCCATAAAATGGAATATTATTTAGTGACAAATGCTACAACATGGATGAACATTGAGAACATTATGCTAAATGAAAGAAGCCAGTCACAAAAGTGCACATATTATATGATTCTGTTTATATAAAATGTCCAAAAATAGGCACATCTGTAGAGACAGAAAGCAGACTAGCAGTTGCCTAGGGCTGTGGGCAGATCGGTTAGGGGTTGGGGGAAAATAGGGACTGACCGCTAATGCTATGGGGTTTCTTTTTGGGGTGATAGAAGTGTTTGAAAATTGCATTGTGGTGATAGTTGCACAATTCTGTGACCATCCTAAAAATCACTGAATAGTGCTCTTTAAATGGATTTGGTATGTGAATTATATCTCAAAGCTGTATAAAAAAAAGTTATGGTTTCATCCTTAAAATTCAGCACCTGGAGGTCCTCTGCTGCTCTTGAAGGAAAGAGGAGCAGTCAATAAATATTTAGGGACTGCATAGAAGTTAGCTGGAAGTTTGATTCTTGGAGTAATGGAGAGAAGCAGGGTTTGTCTTCCAGGAGCTTATATACAAATATAGAAGATAAGATTAAGCTAGGTTTATAAATAGCAAAAATATCTCCCACCCCTAATCATCTGTGCTAATCCAGGTCCTCTTGAAGCCCTTCTCACTAGCTGCCCAGAAAATCAAGGACTATGCCAAGCCAATGGAGGAAGGAGTGTCTATTACATTCCAAAGTAAAATATAAATATTTTTAAACTTATCCCTGTCTACCTCCTGGGACTCTTGTGTGGGTCACAAATTGGGGTAATAAGGGTGCCAGGCCTTTGAAGTCAGCCAAGGCCATTTAGGGTCCAGTTATTTGGCTTGCTTTATATCTTTCCTCGACTCCAGGGAAAGGTTTGTTGAGAAAGCCTAGTTAATTTGGTAACAGTTGTCAAACACCTGCTACATGCAGGGACTGAGTGAGAGGGGCAGCAGGTAAACATGCAGTGACCATAGTTTCTGAAAAGTGCTCTGGTCGGGACAGTAGAAGCTGCTCCGAGGGCACATGGCAGAGGGCCTTTAACCTAGACCTGGGGGATCAGGAAGGCTTCCAGGAGAAGTTAGCCAGGAGAAGGAGGGTGGATGGTGTATATATTCTGGGCAAAGGAAACCTACCATTCAGAAGGTGCCGTTCTGGTCCTTTCATACACATTATCTGTTGGTCACTCTCACTGTCACCCTGTAATACAAGGTATTATTACTCCCATTTTACAGATTAGAAAACGGACACTTGGGGCCTTTAAAGGACTTTACAAAGACAAAGATGATAAGTGGCAGAGTTGGAATTTAACCCAGTTTTTCTACTATCAAAGCCAAAATGCTTTTTAAACTCTGCTGTACAACTTCTACAAGACTACATGTTTTATAATATATTTTTTCTGATTACAGAAATACTTATGTTTGATCATTGTTGAAAGTTTAGAAAATATAGAAAAAACATAAAGATTAAAAACGATCCGTGATCCTGCAAACAAGGTGGTGTATAGGCTGTCTAGCCTCCAAACTGGATTATGCTAAGAATCTGCTTGTTACAAAACTATGCTAATATTTTCCATGTTATTAAACATTCTCCTATATAGTAATTGTAATGGTTGTCAAGTATTCTGTCTTTGGGATTTACTATAATTCTACCCAATTTACATGGCCAAACCTTTAGGATATCACCCCGCTCCAACTTTTGCTGTTATCACCAATATTGTGCTGAGTATTTTTGCAGATCAATCTTTGTCTCAGTCTTAGATAATTTTTTTAGAATTTAGCCTAAGGAATTTCTGTGTCAAAAAGCTCTGCATATTTTAAGGCTTTTGATTTGAACTCTTAGGTTGTGTTGAAAAGGTTGTAACAATCACACTTTCACATAGTGTGTTTTTTTCCTGCTTGCTACAAATATTGTTGTCTTTTTAGCTTGTCAACCTGATAGTTATTGCATTAACATTTTAATTTTCATTTCTTGCCTTATTGTTGAAGTTGAATTCTGAAGCTGCTTATGATTATTGTATTAAATGCCAAAATATATAATATTGACCAAAATGCATTGAACATTTAAAGAATGGAGGTGTCTTTGTAGACCAGAGGTGATGGATTCAGAATATATTTTGCCAAATCCTGCAATTTTACTGCCAGAACAGATGGTTTAGATGCAATGTGAGGTTATACTGGGAGTGGAAAGGCGGAGGGGCAGGAGTTATTTCTTAGATTTAATAACAATTTTTTACTCACGTAGGTTCTTAAAGGTGGACAGGAAGCACCCACAAAACCCAAAGGTCGCCCCAAGAAGAACTCCATCCCCACATCAGAAGAGATTGAAGCGGAAGAGAAGATGAACAGCCAGGCCCAGGGTCAGGAGCGACTGGAGCCCTCCCAGGGGCAGGAGGAGCTCTGTGAAGAACAGGAACCGAAAACACATGATGTCCCCTTAGAGATGGCAGAGCCACCAGACCCGCCCCAGGAGTTGCCAATACCCTCTTTGGAACCCCCACCATTAAGCTAAAGTAAAACCCTTTTGAGAGTAGAGGGAGACTGGGGAGAAGGGAAAAGAGGGAAGGCAGGGAGGGAAGGCAGGGAGAGTAGGCAGAGAAAACTTTCTAGCAGCCCAGTAAACTGGGGGAGAAGAGATCTAGCCATCTCCCTCCCTCCCACAGTTCCCAGTGGCCTTGTCATTGCAAGCATTTGACAAAGACTTGCTTGTCTTGAGCCTTTCTCTTCCTGAAAGGCTGCTTTAGCCGTGGATGCCCTTGATTAAGGGAGAGAGCACCTAGGAGTTGCCTGCCCCAGCTGGGGTGACGGCCGTGGGGCTGGGGCTGGGTCTGTGTTGCAAGCCCTCTCCCAGCATGCAGTGGAGAGTGCTTAGCTCTCTCCCTCCCGACCTCTGGGCAGCCAGTCATCAAAGCAGAGAGACGTGGCGGCATGTGGGCAGCATGCCCAGGTTCCTTGCTGACTCAGCACTTACTTATGTAGTTTTTAAAAAGAATTTAATGTTTTCGGTTGTATTTTTTTGTGGGGGTGAGGGTGGGCAAAAACGTGGGGGGAGTTCTGAGTTGTTAGAAATGTTTCTGAATCAAGTTTGTTTGAAGACACGTGTGCCTTTGTACCCATTATAAGATGGTCATGAGACCCAAGAACTGAGAAGCTTTGTTGTTGTTTTTTTTGCTTTATTTACCCATTTATGCCTAGTGTTCCATTATTGGAACGCTAAGCTTGTGGGAGTTATTTCTATCCTACTGCTCAAGGTCATCGCCAAGGTCTGATTTTTCATAAAAAACATTTGTGACCTTCAGCATAAATGGGTTAAGGTGCCATCCCTGAAGCTGCAATGCAGATATGTTCAGATAACTTTTATTTTTTAATTAAAAATAAATCTTTCAAAAGGACTGAGTGTTTTGTGTCTTCTAAGGAGTGTATCTAACCCTTCCCGAATGTGTCCTATGGGAAGGGAGACCCAGAGAGTGAACCAGACTTGGGGGACCACCTTTTCCCCATCTATAAAGCAAAGGATTGGGCCAGGCCATTGGTGTCCAAGTGCTGAGAGCTGTGGGAGTGGAACAGAGCCTCCGGGATGAGGACAGGGCAGAGAACCTGGGCTGTCCCCTCCACCTCTCCCACTGCCTTCTGCCAGAGCAGCTCCCTTCTCAGCCACTTCACATTTGGGGCGTCCAATGGTCTTACTTTTTTAAAGAGGTAAGAAATGTATATGCTTCAAAAGTCAAAACCAAAAAAGACGACTTGGGCTGGGTGCAGTGGCTTACGCCTGTAATCCCAGTACTTTGGGAGGCCCAGGCAGGCGGATCACCTGAGGTCAGCAGCTCGAGACCAGCCTGACCAACATGAAGAAACCCTGTCTCTACTAAAAATACAAAATTAGCCGGGTATGGTGGTACATGCCTGTAATCCCAGCTACTCGGGAGGCTGAGGCAGGAGAATCGCTTGAACCTGGGAGGCGGAGGTTGCAGTGAGCCAAGATCGTGCCACTGCACTCTAGCCTGGGCAACAAGAGCGGAACTCCATCTAAAAAAAAAAAAAAAAATCTTGTTTCCACCCTGCCCTCTTCTCCCCTGAATCCCTTGTACGTAATTATTTTTATTGGTTTCTTGTTCATCTTTCCAGGGCTTCTTGACTAAGTATTCATTTGGATGATGGGCTCTGCAACTGTTAACAAAAGAAGACCTGAGAACTACTTGACTAGATGTGCTGGGTGATTTTAAATTTAAAAATGGTGTTCCACGTTAATTTAAGACGAAAAAGAAGGAGGCTCTAGACTTCCTAGCAGGACTCTGCCTCCGTTTGTCTGATTCTCATGCATTCTGGCCCAGAGCCTGATCTCAAGAGGTCACCTTTATGATCACCGCTCCGGCATGCTCACCTGTGATGCCTTCCAGGGCCGAGTGCCCGTTTAGTGGACTCTCAGTTATTAATTACACAGTAACTCTGCCCAGTTGCAGGCTTGGAGAATACCAACTGACTTTCAACAGTGGCCTCAACAAGGAAGCCAAACCTGTTACTCGTTCTGTAAAACAATCACATAATTCATTTCAAAGTTAAACAGGAAAGATCCGCGTGTTTTCCATCACCTGGCAGGCCGCCTGCTTTTCTCCATTAACAGTCAGAAAGTGACTGCAATTTTGACTTTGCCAAAGCAGTGCCTCATCCCCTTTGTTATTGAGATCAACAGAGAAAGCAGTCTTTTTCTTAACTCTTGTGAATAGACAAAGGAGGGGAGGATTTGGCTTCTGAGAACCAGTCTGAGCAGACCACACCTAGCTGCCTGTGCGAGGTTGCTTGTACCACGCGGGCAGAACGCCGTCTCCTCCACGTCCGGCCCGCTCCACGGTACAGTTTTATGATCTGCCTACCAGGTGGTGTCACAATGAGCCAAGAATGTGCACAATGGCCAGAGTAAGCTGGTGGGTCAGTGCTAGTTCTGTCCCATTCACACTACCCCAGAGAGGCCTCCTGTCTGGATGCTGGCTTCCCAGGATGGTGTTCCATCTCTTGTCCTGGGCTCCCATGATGTCCTTTTCTTTTTTTTTTTAAGTTCAGGGGTACATCTGCAGGTTTGTTCCATTGATAAGTTTGTGTCATGGGGGTTCGTTGTACAGATGATTTCATCACCCAGGTATTCCAGCCTAGTACCCATTAGTTATTTTTCCTGATCCTCTCCCTCCTCCAACCCTTCTCCCTCTGATAGTCCCCAGTGTATTTTCCCCCCTCTATGTGTCCATGTGTTTTCATGATGTCCTCTTCTGAGGTGCCTGATAGTGACTGTCACCGCACAATATATGTGTCCATACGCAGTGATATTCCTGAGCGCTGGGCTCTGGGTACTATTTCTGACCTCCGACTCTCGCTCCTTGGCATGTGGCCTGTGCTTTTTGTGTCTTGCCCATACGGGTTGAATTCATTGGTGAATGTAAGACCTCTGATGATCTTTCCTTGTATTTTGGAGGATCCAAGCTCAAGCCCTTGGTTTGTCTTCCAGCCTCAGTTATGCATGGCATTGCCTGGTGACCCAAAGAGGCCAGGCCGGGCCTTTTAAAATGTTATTTTTTTTAATTGACAAATAAAAATTGTGTATATTTATGGTGTATAACATGATGTTTTGAAACATGCATGCATTGTGGAATGCCTAAATCAAGCTAATTAACATATGCATGACCTCACATATTTATCTATGGTGAGAGCACTTAAAATCTACTCTCTCAGCGATTTTCATGTATACAATACATAATTAACAATAGTCACCATGTTGTACAATATGCCTCTTGAACTTATTTCTCCTAACTGAAATTTTGTAGCTTTGACCAACATCTCTCCAACCTCTCCCTACTCCCACCGCTGGCAATCACTATTTTACTCTTTGCTTCTATGAGTTCAACTTTTTTAGATTCCACATGAAAGTGACCTAAATGCCCATCAATGATAGACTGGATGAAGAAAATGTGTTACATACACACCATAGAATACTATGCAGTCATAAAAAAGAACAAGATCATGTCCTTTGCAGGGACATGGATGGAGCTGGAGGCCATTATCCTCAGCAAACTGACACAGGAACAGAAAACCAATTACCACATGTTCTCACTTATAAGTGGGAGCCGAATGATGAGAACACATGGACATATGGCGGAGAACACCACACACTGGGGCCCTTCAGAGGGTGGAGGGTGGGAGGAGGGAGAAGATCAGGAAAAACAACTAATGGGCACTAGGCTTAATACCTGGGTGATGAAATCATCTGTACAACAAACCCCCATGACGCAGTTTTACCTATGTAACAAACCCACGCTTATACCCAGAACTTAAAAAAAGAAAGTGACAATACGTGATTTTTGTCTTCCTGTATCTGGCTTATTTTCCTTAACATAATGTCCTCCAGGTCATCATGTCGCCACAAATGACAGGATTCCCTTCTCTTTAAAGGCTGAGTAGTATTCCATTGTGTATATAGACCACATTTTTTCTCTCCATTCATCTTGTGATGGACACTTAGGCTGTTTCCATAGCTTGGCTATTGTGAATGTGGCTGCAGCAAACATGGGGTGCAAGTATCTCTAACACGTTGATTTAATTTCCCTTGGTGGACACCCAGGAGTGGGATTGCTGGGTCATGTGGTAGTTCCACTTTTAATTTTTTGAGGAAAGGGCTGGCCTTTGAATGTGAATAGGGACCCTGCTGTCTGTGCCCTGCTTAAGAGCCAAGCCCCGCTTCTCCAGCTTCATCCTTCCCCTTTTTTCCCCAGTTCCCAAGGCTTGTGACTGGCATCCAGAAACCAGCTTCACAGCTTTGCTCTGAAGCGTATTGAGTCGGAGGCAGTCCTGTGTGGGTCTGGAGCAGGGCTACGCAGTGATCTCCAGCATGGAGCATACTTTCCTCTCTCAGCTTCTTTCTCTGGGTGTCTCAATTTTTGCTTTCCCACGGCCATTTACCTTTCCAGGCCTTGCCAAACAAAAGCATCCTCTCCCTTCTCTGGCATCCAGGATGGTGGCCTCCGCAAGTTCAGGGTGTTACGCAAGGGTCCGATAATCTGTTGCTGTTTTGAAGTTTTCTGGAAAAAGGAGAGAGCCATGACAAGTCCTCAGGAATCTGACTTGGAGAAGCTGACCTCTGAGGGACTTTAGCTCTCTCCTCGAGAAGTGCCTTTCCTCTAGGAGGCTTGGAGTGCACTTTCGCAAGCACACTGCCCTTCTGCTGCCCCCCTGGGCTTTGAAATGGGCTGTTTCCTCCAGTTTTGTACAAACCCATTAATCACAGAGAACTGAATGTCTTTCCTGGGGTCTTATGGTTACTCAGGAACCTTATGGTTCCCTTGCTGGGAACCAAGGTCCCAGGCCAGACTCCCTGCAGTGGGTTTTTGCCATTAGCATGCCTTCCCTCCTCCTGGAAACGCTGCAGCGGAAAAGCTCCTTGCACTCAGATTTCTTCCCAGTGCAGGGATTTGGAGGTGGGGGTCTCCTGCCTCTGCCTCCGCGGTGTGTGTCTTAACTGCTAAAGAGCGAAGAATTTCTGGAGCAGGTCCCAGACTCCAGGTCTGCGTGTGTGAGT